ATTCTTGGCAGACATGGCAGGAAAACTGAACATTTACATGTTCTTGAAATTGAAACTCTATTAGCAACAGTACAAAATAATAGGGCTACTTTGAATTCTTTCCTATCTCATGTATCAGCTAATGTCAACAGGCTAAGGTTGAAAACTCTATGATTATATGTGTACTTATTTAAGGAATCAATGTCTAGTTACATATGTAGTAGAGTATGTCTGGGCAACAACGAAAAACATTGTTTTGCATGTCACCAAATTACCAAGTCTCCGACTGTAATGAACTATCTATTCCCTATATCCGCGCTTGTTGCGTTCTTCATTTAATCTCATTGTCTTTATCTATGTTGCCTTCACTACTGTATTAAAAAAACCCTGAGAATCCAACAAAACCCTGAGGAAGTACTGAGTTGTACTGAGAAAACCCTGAGTTGTACTGAGGCTACTACTGAGAAACTGATGAAGTCCTGAGTAGCACTGAGGTTTTCACTGTGCATTCTGTTGTGCTACTGAGGAGCACTGAGGTTAGCACTGTTGCTACTAGTGAAGTACTGAGTGGCACTGAGGTGCGTCTGGGGGCACTGAGCTGATACTGTGTGATACTGAGGTTTTTATTGAGGCAACTGAGGACATACCAAGAGGCACTGAGGTTTTCCAAAAGCAATAATATGACAATAAAATAAGATTAACAGTGGGTAGACAAATAATTGTTTTTGTACATAACTATATCTTCCTTATAGTATTTGATTTAGGGAACCACCAACACTATTTAATTTTCAATTACTTATTATATAGTTGTAGTGTATATCTTTCATTATTATTTTTTTCATTTTCTCAAGTTAAATAATCAAGAAATGTTGTGTTTGTATTTATTGTCAGTAACAATGAGTATTGCTACACTAGGTCTATTATTTATATAGAAATCATAAATAATAAAATATATTCTAGAAACGATTTCTTTGTAAAGATTACTCACGCATTAAATGGAAACTGCTAAATATGCCCATCTATTTAATATGGCCTGTCTCGACCTTATTTGAAATAGAATTCATTACAAAATTTAAAATCATTTTATTTTTTAAGTGTTAAAAATATATTTTGCAGTCAATTGCGAGAGTATACAAAACTTAATTTTCCAATTTTCTCCTATTTTACTGGTTATTTCATCTTCTGGAAAAATAGGAGTAGAGGTTTAAATCCTTTAATAAGCTATGCTGGTATACAATATAATAATAATTTATCTAATATTTTGCTATTAATAATAACTTATTTTAACATGATTTTTGGTCTTTTTATAACGATCAAAACCGCAGTTATAATTACCACATATGTTTATGATATAGGGTGAAAAAGCCAGCAGGTTTTCCAGCAAACATTTGGGTCGTGACATCGGAACAATGTATTTCCGTATAGTTTTCTTATGAAATACTGAATTGTGTCTTCCAAGTTCCTGCGAAGGTTATAATCAAGCTGTGGTTTCTAAATATTTCCACGAGGTAAACTTTGATATGGTAATCAAATTACAAAATTAAAGTTCCGTCTCGTTTTCATTTTCAAAAACATGTATTTTAATTGGTTTGAAAGCATTTTCTTGACAATAGACATTTTGAAGAGATATCAAAAGATTTGACTTAATTTTCCCATGAACTTTATTTCTCAGCCAGTGTAATTCTGTGTATTCTGCAAAGTAAAAGTTAAATTAAATTAACTGGAAATTTTAATAATCTACTTTTCGGCAAAATTTTCTTATGAAATGAAATAGAAATTATATAGAAATTAAAGTTTTATTTTTAGAAATAAAAATTAAAATCATCGCAAATTAATTTGGTAGGTTTCAATCATTACGATGACCCTCGTACGTAGTCACGGGCACCTGTCCACACGTGTCACAAGACACCTGCTACTGTGTTAGTGTATTTTTTGTATATTCTATGTGATTTGGGGGGTTTTCAGCCCAGGGATGACAATTGGCTGTGTTTAACTGTGTATACACACCACTAACGTAACATCCATACAAAAATACTGGTTTTCATTAATAAAAGGCTGATTAAAAGATTTGATAAATTTAGAGATAAAATATTGATGAAATTATCAATATATATTTAATGAGAATTTTTTTTTTTTTTTTTTTTTTTTTTTTTTGCAGACAATACTGACTTAACGGGAAGTTGTTTTAGTACCCTTGAATAATTAAAGCAATTTTTATCTGTATCTGATAAAAATTATTTCTGGTTTTTCTATTATAAAAAAGAACTGAGGTTCTGTTACATTGTAATAATATCAGGTCCTGGTGTATCTAAAATTTCCAATCACTATTTGAATTATATCTGAAGTACATGAAGTATATAAATAAATTCACTGTCTGTGTACGAATTTTCCTCAACTAAATAAATTATATTTATACTGATTAAGAAAAGCTTCGTTAATGTTTGGATTGAATTTACATTTTCAAAACATATTAACAACAATGTCCTGATACACAAAAAGAACAAGTTTTCCACTCACGGATTATATATCTAATTTAACTTTCTATACCCCTTCCCCTATTAAAGAATATCTTAACATCTTCTAGTCTCTTTTTTATATACTTCAACCCCGAAGTTTAATTTCAATAAAAATATATCTATATTAATGAATTTGATAAACTATGTTTAATGCTTTCATGGTGGTATAGTATTTATAGTGTTTGGTGATTTTATGTCAACGCCACATAAATCTACCCAAGTCAAGATCAATAACTCATGTATCGACTGTCAATCAATAAAAAAAAATGATTAAGCTATTGATGAGCTACATGCAGTGACAGATACATACAAAATGTTCATCGCAATTCCGTACATGCAAAATTTACTGCATTTATAAGAGTAAAGAAAATGGTTTCCAGTTTATTAATTTCTATTTCTAAATTTCTAATATATTATCAGGAAAACACCCCAACCTCCTTCTCGACACTATGTGTACACATTGTTTATTAAGTAAATTGCTTTGCATAAGTTTATAGATTCTCAGCATTATACATAATTAATTGATTGAAGGATTTACATTTGAACTCCCATCGTATGAAAGCTTTTCCCATGACAATAAATAAAATAATGAAGATTGAAATGATTTTTTTAGCATTTGCCAATTAAATATATAACAGTTTGATAACCAGAAGGCTCTACATGTATTAAAGTCGGGTTGTGTGCATGAATATACATAATTCTTTTCGACTATTAAACATGTTAAAACTGATGTGTGTAACGTAAATTTTCTTTGCAGAAGAACTTTCTTTGTGCACTAAACTTAAAGTTTTATGAGGCAACGCATGATATACAATTTGTGCGACTACACCCGCGTCAGTCATGCAGCGACCCCCCCCCCCTTTCCAGTTCATTGTATGATACCGGTAGTAATTTTGATATGTTTTATGTGATATTATTTTTAAAAAAGGATATACAACTTATATGTAAATGCATGTGCGATTCTTAATATTCTTCAATTCATCTGTTACTCTTTTAAAAAGATATTTCCGAGGCGTCAATGAACTTAAATATTTACCATCTTTCACTCTGTACATTACTCTGCTCAATGTATAAATCGAGATCGAGAGTGAAGCGAGATAAAATATGACAGCTGTGGTTTTTAGAACTAATTTTTACCTGTTGATAAGGCCGGTGAAATGATAGGGTATTGCCAGAAATGAAATAATGTATTTATGTTTTATGTACATGTAATTTTTTTTTTTTTTACTTTTCTCATCGGTATGAATTACAGCATGTCAAGGTCATATGAATCGTTGGCTTTTACATGTTAAACACGTGATTGTCTGCAAGCATGGGAATAGGTGCTCGTGTACTTACTAACTGAAATGTCAGATGTACGGCGATATTTTTATTTCAAATTACCGCTTGGCCTGGTTCGAAAATATTTTATTTTTTAGATGTATCAACAAAAGAATCGGAAACATGTTCTTAAAATTTAGAACATGCATCCTCTCCGTTATAACAATTAATTACAAAGAATATTGTTATTAAACTTGATTTACACTGGCTTTAACACTTACTAAAACTCAGTCTTATCAAATAAATCGATAAATAAATATTTATAAAACAACAATTTTCCTATTGTTTTGCCATTTGTTTACTACATGTTATTTTATATTTTTAGTAGGTCCTAAACTGCCCATATACTTAAATTACATACTAGTTCAAGAACGAATATTAGAACTTGTGGTAAACAATTATATACTATAAAGATTCTAAACAAAACCTTCACTAAAAATAAAGAAATTAGATGCTATTTCCCAATATCTGAAATTTACGGCAACATCCGATCGTTTACAACTGTGAATCACGCTCTTCCTGAATTGAGAGAAAATAATTTTTAAATTTCGCAAAAGTTTTAAAAACATCCTATGTATAAAGGATGGTAAAGAGAAACCATACATTCAATAAATTGATTCCAATTACAATGTTTATTATTACGACCTTTGCAATGATAGGATAATTAGAAAACTTTGTAAAGAAAACGGAAAGATTGCAGCTGTCATATTAACAAAAGGGTAACGTATGTAAAGAAAGTATTGCAATTCAGATCAAAAAACAATAAATTTTACATACATGTGAATAATCTGTCTAAGATAAAGAAAATCCGTTTCTTGCTTTATGGAAAGCAAAGTAAAACATTAAATATTCGCAATTTTCATCAAAATGATTTTTCTAATCTACTGTTTTTCTTTCTTTCTGATATATTTCTGATTATTCCTTTTTTAAGAGGATCCTGGGAGATAATAATGTCTATCGCTAAAAGAAAACCTCTTATAAATTAGGGAAACTGTACATGTAATAGTATACTTGTTTAAAACTGATCTGATTAGTAGAGATATAACTACATGCAGTCTTTAAAAATATTAATATAATCTTGAAACCAGTTGGACACTTTAGAAAATATTTATGAATACATCGCTAATTAAATCTTAATCTTTCTGTGTTTTTCAATGAATTTCTGTAATGAAAAAATGAATAAGAATGACAAAAGAGGGGTCAGGGCGTCAGGCTGTTCTGAAGGTGCGTTTTGAGTCTAGCTGTCGGGTCACATTGCGTAACTGACTGCTAGCAGGTGCCCGTCTGTATATATACAGAAGTGACACCTATTGTTCTTCTTTCTCGCTACCGCATTGTGTAACTCACAGAGCTTCCTTTTGTCAGCGCCAGTGTAGTACTTCAAAGCGCTTCCGTTTGTGTACAATATCCATATTCATGAATACGCTGCAGTGTTATCTTTTAATAAATAAAAAAAACCGTTTAATTGTTCACAATTATACACTAAACAACTGTTTCCGATTAAGCTATATTTTTATGTGGAGTTCATAGTATGGCTTGGGTTTTTTATTCTGATGGTTTAGTCATTTTTTAAAATGAAAATATGAAATTTCAAGAAACATTTTGAGTTAAACATACGTCATTTTACTGTAAACGGGTATCAATAGGAGGGACGTCTACATTAACTGAATTATTCGTGACAATTATTATTGCTGCACTCTAACCGATCGGCAGTAGGACTTGATTACAGCGAATAAATACTGTAGCGTAATTAGAACCAGTAAAATAAAACATCTATTTTTATTCAGTGGAGTTAAAGTCTATTTTCATTTTCTGTATTTGATTTCTTGAAGAAAAATGTATGAGCAACTCTGACAATGATAAACTCCCGGTACATGTAAACCAAGCGCAGAGTATACTTGCTATAAGTGTCATAGACAGACAACCAAAGAATCGACGACAGTATTATTTCAATTCATTTGATATCATTATAACTACATGTTTAAACAATGTGTTTTACAAAGAGATCTCCAAAGGATTCTAACTTCTTTCTTCTTTAAATTTTTTAGACATTCAATCATAGCAGAATTTTCAAATCATGTTCGCGTGTGCTAATAAATTGCGAACTTATCCAAAATAAAACCTGGACATAAAGAAAAATATACTAAAACTTCAATATTATTTTCTGCTGTCGATGTTCATTTTATTATGCTAGCACATGTAACAAAACTTTCAGTTATCCCCATGTTTATTTTCAAATTATTTTCATAATTTGTAAGTTATGAAATTAAGAATTAACTGAGTGACAATGAATACAAAATTTACAACGTGACAGCTACACGTTTTTACTGACCCGGTAAATTTAAATGTTTTATTCTACATATTGAATTTATACTGAGTGGGAGTAACAACAAAATTAAGAAGATGACAACAATGAAAAACGAGATGTGATTTGGAAATTCTAATTATTCTCTTTTTAAGATGCCGCAACAACAGCATAAATATTGATGATATAAATATCATTAAAAATAGGCAATTAATGTTCAAGTCAGTCAAAATACATCTTTTCAATATTATTTTATTTGACAGTAAATTTATTTCTAATTAATAAGTTGTAAATTTAATCTGTGACACATCACCGTATTTCTTCCCTATTTCTGCTTAAATTAATTAAATACCATTGAAAAAGTAGAATATGTCAGAAGCATTACCATTACCTTTACGACATTAACGATTTTGTATTAGCACAGCAGAAATGTAACTTAATAAATTTTCAGATGTGGATCAAGAATTATTAGACAAAAACTACTATTTATCATGATGTTTAACATTGGTTGGATAAATTTTGAAAAACAATTTCCTAAATAATTAATATTTAACTAAATGGTTGATATAAAAAATAAATAAATAAGATATATATCCATGTATGTATCATTAAAAATATGCCTAGAATACTAAATTAAATATCCTTGTAATCGTTCAAAAGAAATTATGCAAAAATTTAATTAATTAAATGAACAAGAAGCAGACAGAATTTCAGTTTTATTGTTGATGATATTTGTACCTATTCATTTTGATTTGAAGAAAGTTTATAAATAAATAAATTTGAACATTAGATTACAATAAGTCTCATAATAAAAATAATTATTTTTGAGAAAAATAGCCTCAGTCTCACTCAGGATAACCTCAGTAGCAACAGTATTAAAACTCAGGGCTACTCAGTATCAGCTCAGAGCCTCAGAACCACCTCAGTACCCCTCAGTACCTCCACAGTACCACCAGAGTCAACCTCAGTACCTCTCAGTATGTCCTCAGTGTACACAGTAAAAACCTCAGTGCTACTCAGGACTTCATCAGTTTCTCAGTACCGGGCTCAGTACAACTCAGGGTTTTCTCAGTACCACTCAGTACTTGCTCAGGGTTTTGTTGGATTCTCAGTGCTTTTCAGTTACAGTAGTGAATCTAAATACAAATGTTGAGAGAGATATTGTAGTGATTACTTGTAGTAACCTCCCCCCTCTTAAGTAGAAATATTTATTTTCTTTCACGCATGATATGAAAAGAGGAATGCTTAAACAACGTAATTCACCCTTAAATATCTTTAAATAATTGTTTTAAAAAGTTAAGACATACTTAAATCACCTCTGCTGACAGCCTAAGTTTTGCTAAGATTTTCGAATGTAAGCACGCTTCTAGTAACGATCTTAAGTCTAAGACTGGACTTAAGTCCTACATAAGTATGGTCTAAGACTTACGTACCCTTTATAATACGACCCCCAGGTACTTAGAAACTAGCGACAATGTGTAAGAAATCACGTGCTAAGTTCATTACACAAAGACCTAATCAACATTATTGTTTTTTTTTTTCAAAATCAAATAGAATGAAATATTACATAAAGGGCCCATTTTTTCACTAAATTGTGACCCGAGTTGACCTAGAACTGTTTGGCCTTGTATTTTGGCTTTTTTTTCCCATTTAATTAAATTCCAATGTAGAGTTATAGTTGATGCCGATTACCTATTTTCTACGCACACCGAAAATCGATCCCGAGAAATTTTATGTCATTCAACTATAAAGAATAATGGAGAGGAAAAGGCGTTAATTGAATTTTTTTCAATGTATCGGATGGAGAACTTGTGAAACTGACGAAAACTTCAAAACAAAACACTATTCAGATTCATGCGTAAAATAGTTTTGAAGTTTATTTGATATCCCATGCATTTTGCGAAATTGTAGTTTAAATGCTTTGAAAGACCATCAAGGGATTAATGATTTTTTCTTATCTAAATATTATAATTAACTGACGCATTATAAATGTTAACATATGTTAAGTTTTCATTTAAGCTGTCTCATGTCAAGGTTTATTTTACATATTTACCAGACCATTTATAATTAAAAAAAATATTAAAACTAGTGCTAATTGTAACGGGAAACGTTACAGATGTTCCCTTTTCGTACTATATTTCTTGTAAGCCTTATTAAATAAGACAACATCTGTGCATTTTTGGCTTGAACAACGTTTTCCCAGAAGGATACCAATTATATTGAAATTAAAACATTGCACGCGTGCGCATGTGAATGCACGAGCGTAATTATCATATCATCTTGTTTACACTTTCTATGAATTTAAATATGCTATATATTCAAGCATTTAGTCCAAAAGTATTAAATGTCACTCATTCAAGTGTATGTTTAATTTCGCTCGTTCCAAATGCACGCACGTGTGTGCACGTGTATGATGACCATACCTTCTTGTAAAAGGCCATTATTTCTATCTATGTTCTGAATTCCATCCTGTTCTGTTTAAAACCAAGGGAGTTATAGCTTTTCAATTTTAGCCAATCAGATTGCAGCACACGTGTATCCGCGTGATTTCATGATTTGTTTTCTAAATCATATTGTAGGATATCCTATTGAATGACTTTGTTTTAAATTTCAAAGCATTTCGTCAAAAAACAAAGGAGACATAGCCATTTAAATTTTCAGCCAATCAGATTGCAGCACACATGCATGCGCGTGATTTCTTGAAATATTTTGTATCTCATATTGCAGGATATCCTAATAAATGACTATGTTGTAAATTTCAAAGCATTTTCCTAAAAAAACAAAGGAGATATATAAAGCCATTTAAAGTTTCAGCCAATCAGATTGCAGCACTCGTGCATGCGCGTGATTTCTTGGAATTTTTTGTATATCATATTGCAGGATATCCTAATGCATGAATATGTTTTAAAATTCAAAGCATTTCGTAAAAAACAAAGAAGATATAGCCATATTATGTTTCAGCCAATCAGATTGCAGTGCACGTGCATGCGCATAATTACATGATTTTTTTTCCATATTATATTGTAAAATACAGTACAGGCCACGAGTTTTCCGCATCGCTCGGTGGAAAAAACACCGTGTGAAACGCTCTGTGTTACACCGTGTACACGGTGTAGCACGGTGTGTGTGGATTTGAAATATACAGGTAGGCACACCGTGCCGCACCTTGTCTAGAAAAATCTCAGCTAATGTCCTCCGTGTCGCACCGTGTCCAGTAAATTTCGTTCCGTGTCGCACTGCGTGTCCAGAAAATTCTCCTCCAAGCTGCACCGTGTAAATAGTATTACAGATAAAATCGTTTGTTTCTGATAAAAATTTAAGAATAAATTTTGATGACAATTCATAACTTTGGTTCATGTATATATAAAAATCGTTTTTATTCTGCCAGATGTTGGACTCTGAATGGCACGCATGATATTGAGATTAGATAGCGGTAAAAAAAAAAAATGGAATGATTTTCATTTGAATTAACTGTGTGTCTAGAAATTTATATTTTAGTAAAAATATTCATCCACGTTATAAAATCAAAATTATGAATTTTATTTTAAATGAATAATTTTATCTCATGTGTTCATGTAACAAAGGAAGACGAAATGGCGTCGAGCTGCATTCGTGACACATACACTGTATAGTATAAAATCCGAGCTGTATTTATGTTCATGGTTTTAACATGTACAGTACTAGTGTACGATCCAGGCATTATTATGTGTATTCCTTATTAAAATACATTTATTTTGTTCATCTTGAATTAATCTGAATGTGGATGCGAAAATCGTCAGCAGAAACACGAAATTAATGCAATAATTTCAAAGCGCATTTCTTGTAATAGCAAACATTATTTTCATAGAGTAGTATTCACTACGTTATGTTTTTAAAATCCTTTCAGTGTAAGTAAAAAAAAGATTTTCTTTATTCTAAGTTTTTTCTTTTCTTGTAAAGTGTATAAAAAGCAATACCAGAGAGAGAGAGAGAGAGAGAGAGAGAGAGAGAGAGAGAGAGAGAGAGAGAGAGAGACTCATACAACCCCCTTCTAACAGAGTGTAATAATTCTATTTAATTGTCACAGTTTTTGTTCATATTCAACCCATTTAATGCAATCAATTCGTTCTCTGTATATGCTGCACGCACAAAATCCTCATGAATCACCTGTCAATCAATTAAAATCCCATGACGCTAGGTGACCTTGAAAGTCTGTTTACGCGGAAAGAATTTCTCTTGTGATTTGAAACAATCTTATGGTCAGTTCGGAGTCGCACCTGTTTAAAAAATATATTGGGTCTCTGCCGGTGGGCCAGGGGCGCCGTATGTTTATCACACCTTTCAAATTCTTTAGCTCTGACCACAGCAAGTGTATACATGTAACACACTCAACTGATATCATGCGAAATTCATCTTCCAGGTTTCACTACAACAACGATTATAAACTTACATGTACTTTGTTAAATTATTTATCCTTTTTCAGACAAAAATAAGCATGTATCCCGTAGATTAAGATTAAAAACACAACATAAATTTGCAGACTTCTGAAAAAGTTTTAACCAGCTGATTCGTATCGTTTTCTAGAAGGGAGGGGGGACCATTTTTAAAAATCGCTAAATATCTATATGTTTTCTCAAACCGTTTTTTTTTTTTCTCTTTACATTTTTCACACAATGTATTTCAGAATGAAGTAATATTCTTACTGAAGTTAGTACATTTCACTTGCCAAAAATTCGGCTGTGATTTTTGTCTTTAGCGTGTTTACTAAGTTCATCACTATTTAAATTAATGAAATTTATCAGATTATCATCTATGCCTGTTCAGTAGATTTTCGAGTTTACCGCATTTAATTTTTATCCCCATATTTTACATAATTACAGATTTTTGTTGTTAGTTTTACGGCAATAATCCTTATCTGAACCTGTCCAATGATTCGCCGAGTATCGGTATCGGTATCAAAGAGCAGAATTAATGTGCGAGTCTGATACGTATTTTTTAAAAAAAATTATTCCAGACACCGTCATATATACATGTATATTTAAATTCTTACAAAATCATTAATTCACTTAGTATAATCACGCATCTGATATGTACTACGTATGAATGCATACGTAGGGAAAAACGATCTTGTATCAACAATTTAATTGAACACGGTTAAAATCAAAATCGAAAGTAGAGACAATCAAGTAATTCATTTATAAAAGTGTGTTTCCTCTTAGTGTAATAAAATAATAGTCTATTGAACTTTTTATGACTAATATAATTAGGATTTAACTTGAAACGTGATTGTACGGCCTTTCCTCTGTCATTTGTGACAAAAATAATGCAACAGAACAACAATAAGCTGAATATTTCAAAACATAAGATTTGTACATATGGAAAGTTTGCCTCCTAAAATACTTGGAAAGTGCTGCTAGAATCCCGAGTTAAACATGGTTTTATGAAAAATCAGGGTTCATATGTAAAAATTTCAAAACATTGGGTAAGGTTTCGTGCGAATGTGTGGAATAATTATTTTACTGACAGGACAGTTGGATTCTAGCTGCACTTTTTAGGCAAAATAGATGTTTTTCAACAACAATATTTACTCAAAGAAATTATCAAACTCCGGGGTATTGTTGTTCTGTTAGCTTTTTTATTAAGGGAAATTTCGCTATTAATAGAAATCACGTGATGCCGTGGTGGTGGTGCACGTCATTGCTTTGTACACTCTTTTACCTTTATGCATTAGATAATAAAAGTTTACGTTTATCAGCGGTTTTGGTAAATTATCAAAATAAATTTTCTTTAAAAAGTCTAAATTTCCCGAAAAATGACTTATATGCTTCCTTAACATACCCGCGACGGAAAATTAGTTTTTATGCTCCCGGAACATAATTAACCCAAAAACTTGTCAAGATTGGCAAAAATACGCGTTTTTTGGACGACTTCCGCTTTGACCGGAAATGACGACGCCGGACGTATTTTTACGACGCCGAAAGATTCAGCTTAACATTTTGAACAACTTTGCTTCTTTAACCTATTACAAATTCTTAACAATTTTTGAGATATAAAGAACAAATTTTCGGCCCCTCTAGGCCCTTAATTATAGGGGCCAGCCCCTTTTACAAGATATCATTTGAAAGATCTTTAAATTCTATACTTCTTTTGTGCAATATGATTTAACAAAATATTTCCAGGTAAAAAGATATCGTAGAAAATGTGTTAAAAATTTTGAAATTCGTCATAGGACTATTTTCGAACCATAGCAAGCGTCGGCGCTTCGTACTTCCGGTAGTTATGATATACCTAATACCCTTCTCCAAAGGTTGCTCTAGCATCAATGAAAATTTCATGCGTCTGTGTTAAGTGCTTTTTCAGAAAACTGCCGGACAAAGTGACCCTCTAAAAATCACTAAACTGCAGAAAACTCCGAACTAGAAGTGACGTCATCAAAACGAAAAAAAAAATGAATCGAATTCAAGTTATGCTTCATAAGTCCTGGAAGTTTTATAGAAATCTATTTAGCCGTTTTCGAGAAATCGCGTGCACAAAATCGGTAAGATAATAAACAATAATAATAACTAGATGAGATCTCGTTGCAAGCAACGAGTAGGTCTTCCGTTGAATTTCTCGATAAGATGAGATGTGAATTTGACTGAGATATTCGTGAAAAGAGAATGACATTAAGTTTTCCTTCATTGATTTTAAAGTTTCTGTTTTTTTATCACGATATTCTGAACATCTTTTGTTCAATATGGCTTATAAAAATACTCCCTCTTTTCGAGACGTAAAGCATGAAAAAATTAGCATTTTGGCCTCTTGCAACCACTTATTACGTAACATATGATCAAAATTTTATAATGTATTGTTGCAAATCGTTAAGATGAATATCTTTGATTCTCATAATGGATACTTATCAAAAAATAATGATCATGAAAGAGTTGAAGATGACGTTGTCTGGAATTTTTAACTTTCGCGAAACTGTTTACGTTTGCATAGCAGCTGCCTCTGTGAATTTCGAACCCGACGTAATTAACATGCGGAATGATTGCACGCGAGGGTACATAACTGTGGTCGGGAGGGCAACATAACATGTTTCAGGGTAACATAACTGTATCCGGCGTGATTCGGCAGTTTTTCAGGGCATATAAATAAAAATATTATATTTGTGATATAATGGGAAAACTTCTTCAAAAATGTTATATAATAATATCTTTGTTACGCTTATTTTCTGTTTTACTTTGTATTGCGACCAACAGAATTAAGAAAATCAAAAACTGTTATCAAGTATTTTATTTTAATCAGAATTAACAATAACACACAAAAAATGTTCTCTCCCTATAAGAATACATTGCTAAATCCTCAAGTTACTTTAAATAAATAAAAGTGTTTAAGTTTTTACTTGTTCACGACAACCCCTTCAAATAAACACACATAAATGAAATTGAAAATGATTCTTGAAAAAATTAACATTTCTAAATATTCTAACATAAATATAAGATGTACAGCGGGAAGAAATCCGACCAAAATAAAACTCATAACCGCAAATTCTCATGATTTTAATAATAAAGCCCGGCGATTTTTTTTTACTTCTACATGTACGAGTCCCCCTTCCTGTCCAATACTTTAATTGTTTCTGTTAACCTGCTGTGCATGTACAGTGTAGCTATTTCATTCTGCTATGAAATACAATACATGTTTTGTCGTTCTCAATTAAGAAGATCGATAATTTTGATGTAGATTTTGAATAGTTTAAATGGAAAGTAAATTGAGATAATAAAAATAAATAATTGAATGAGGACACGCACATTACCTTGTACTGTATTTTGAGATAATAAAATTATACATTTTGTCAAAGACCAGTTTGATTTCTTTTCTACGCACTGACAGATAAATTTCTCTTATGTATATTAAGACCGCGGAACATTAACTGGCAAAATTGGAAATATACAGCTTACGTCATTTCTATCTGTTACAATCAAAACATTCATTGATAGACAACGAAATAGGCGGGTACAATTCGACGCGGACGTTTGGAAAACATCGGATTGAAATAGCAGATCGAAATTCATTTTCAATCCACCCGAGCTGCTTTCAAAGCAAAGAGTGAATGTATGATCCAAAAATCAACTATATTTTACATGTAACTCCCAAATACATATTGTTTGAAGTTCACATTAATATGAGTTTTCGCTTTAAGAACGCGAAAGATCATGGAAGACAAAGATTATTTTTCAGGAGATATTTGATTCTAGAAGGGGGGGGGGGTAAAAATTGTCGAGTCGGGTCATGGCTTAACATGACAATATATTTTATTTCTAGGATTATTAGAGTGCATGAGTTTTATACTTATTCTCACTGAAAACTGTTGGACAACTTTATTTAAAAATCGTTCAAACCCCCCCTCCCCCCCCAACACCAACACAAAGATATACATATATTTTCCAAACAGAAATGAAATATTTCTTCCTTAAATATTTATTCATTTAAAACACTAGTAAAAAAAATTCAAACTGTACCAAAATTGAAATTATTTGTCTTCTGGGTCAACCTTCTGGCGTGCCTGAGGTTGATTGAAAATGAATTTCGATCTGCAATTTCAATCTGATGTTTTCCAAACGTCCGCGTCGAATTGTACCCGCCCATTTCATTGTCTATCACTGAATGTTTTGATTTTAACAGATAAAAATGACGTAAGCTGTATATTTCCAAGTTTGCCAGTTAATGTTCCGCAGTCTTAATCACGTTTATTTATTAATTGGGCTTGAAATAAGAGAGAAAGAAAGAAAATAAATAAATATGTATTACTAAATATACATAGAGCATGCAACATGGAGAATAAAAATAAATAATAATATTTAATGTTTTCAATATTGAAAATAACGCAGCATTGTTAAGGCTTGAATAAGGGGGCGGAGCCTAATTTATACGGGAAAAGTTTACTGTGACGACACACAAAAATATGACTTTCATGTTTTTCTCATTATACCTGAAAATGAAATAGTTTGCAACTTTTAACTGTATTAGCATAATAAACAACAATAAAACTTATCAATGCATTTAAAAAACTTGCTACTTAAATCCCATGTAGCTGGTTATAGACAAAGCACTGATCGCGGTGAACTTGTAAACATGACGTCATTTTGGTAAAAATGACGCATTTCATGTGCTGTGAGAGGCAGATTGAGGAATTTTTTAACAAAGAAAAATGCGTTTTATTATTAAACGGAATACTATTTACAGGTTTTAAATAGTCGATTAATACCAATGCATATCCTTTGTTTAGTGCGATTATTAATAAACTATCAAGAGAATGTATTTTGCTAATTATGTCGTGTTTGTATGTACAGGTTACGTATATATTACATCGAGATGCCTCATAAAATCGCATTTTCGCAAGGGCATACACTTAATAGATCTTAACCATTTTTTTAATATAGATAAAGGATATTTTTCTTCACTTGAAAAGTGCTGCTGCTTTCTTTAAATCGAGGGCATGATTTTATAAGAACACAAAACATTTGGTAAAAGTCAAACATATTTCGACATTGGCTTATTTACCTTATAATTTAACTATTAAAACGCAAGTTCTATTCAAAGCAGCAGCACTTTTCAGAAACTACAAAGTATGCAGAAACAAATAATAACTTGAATTTTTAATTTCAACTTAGGGTATGCCCTTGCGATATTGAAATTTGTTAACGACCTACATTCAGTACACGAACTAAGCATTCATCACGTGACTGTCCATCGATGGGACCAAACTTCATACAGTACAGAGTGGGTTATACAATGCTATTTCAATAAGTATTTGTGTTCTGTGATAATAAAACAGCTTAATTAAAATAAATTCAGTTTTAAAAAGGTCCCCCTTTTTGCACGTCTATTTTCCGTTTATTTCTCATAGTAGGCCTTAACAGTGCTGCGAAACAAAATAAATATATTATTATATCATGCTTCCGAAGAAATAAAATATATCAAAACGAAAATGTTTTTCAATAATCATTTTAATAATAGATTTTTACAGTATATAAATACGCCTTGTTTGTGTATGTAAACTGCTTAGATTAATATTGAATAGCAAACTGATCGATTAGTTGACGTGCTGAATGGTCAACGCATTTGATCTTTTATCCCAGTTGACAGGTCTGTTTGCCATTTTGATTGGTCGGCACACTTTTTGGCTAATCGCTAATCCTGATTGACAGCTTTGTTAACTACTACCGAACGCATGTTCGCTTTTTGGGACCGTTACAGAATTTGAAGTAAAACTTGTCAAGCGAACGCGGAGCGCACCCAAGGCGCACCCAGACCGGTTCCGAATTTCTGAAAGCGAACCCGGATCAGATCCCTCAACGAACGCAGGAAGCGGACCTGGGTCTGCTTAAGGTTCAATCGGGTGTTAGTTTGTGTCCGGTCGGTACTGAAAGCTCAAAAATTATCTCACCATGTGACTCAGTCATTTTATGTCCTCATATCCCTAGTATGTTTGTACAGAATTGAACATAATTTCTCTTCAACAAATTCGCTCATTCAAGAAAATAATTTGCGAAATCAATGTTAACATACTAATATAGCATTAATGCATTAATTTAAAATTCTTTAAAATTAATTTCTTATCAAAATGGCATGCTTGGCCAAGACTTGAAGAGGGAATAACCACTTTTCATACAAAAAATATCCTAAACCCACTGCAATTACATCTGTCATTTGTTTATCTATCACAGGGATATACCATAATTCATTCCACTCCTAAAGAATAACATTTTTTATTCACGATTATTTCAGGAGGCACCATTGACACAACTGTTCATGAAATTCTAGATGATTACTATCGCGTTAGGGAACTTCATAAAGCAGCTGGTGGTAACTGGGGAGGCACAAAGGTTGATGAAAAGTGGATCGAGTTTTTAGAGGAATTATCAGGTGAAGAAGCCATGGATGAATTCAGAAAAACAGAATGTTATGATGTCGTTGACCTTTACAGAGATTTTGAAACTAAGAAAAGAACCATCAAAGAAGACCCAGATCAAAAGATAGTACTTAAAATACCAGTTTCACTCTCAGAGATATGCAAAAAGTATAATAAGGGGCAATCTTTATCTGATAAGGCTGCAAACAACAAAAAATACGGAAACAATATTAAAGCGTCCGCAGACAAGTTGATTATTACTGCTTACATAGCAAGAAGATTTTTTACTGAATCAATCTCACAAATTTGTGAACACTTGAAAATGATTTTTCAGCATCCAAATGTTAAACCTGTCAATATAATCCTTTTAGTTGGTGGATATGCCGAGTGCCCATTACTTCAATCGGCAATTGAAAACGAGTTTCCATCAAAAACTGTTATTGTACCATCTTTTTCTGGTGTGGCTGTTTTGAAAGGTGCTGTAATGTTTGGTCATAATCCAACTTTGATTCACGAAAGAATAGCAAAATACACGTATGGTATAGCTGTATGCCGTCTATTTGAAAAGGGAAAACACAGAGAAGATTACATGTTTGAGAGAGACGGCAAAATATGGTGTGACAATGTTTTTCGATCGCATGTAAAAAGTGGTGAAAAAATTCAGGTTGGTAAGTGCCAGTCAAGCGAATGTTATGAAACATTCAAGGGCAGTGGCGGTGTCATAGTTCCTGTATATGCATCGACGGTTGAAAACCCTCAATACGTAACCGATGATGGGTGTTGTTTAATTGGAAAAATCAAATTTGCTCTGAATAAAGACTGTACCTTTGGAGAAACAATTAATAATCTTAAAGTAAATTTTTCTTTCGGAGGAACAGAAATAGAGGTAAAATTAGAATGCATGAAAACAGGAAAAACTAAAAGCCTTTACTTAGACACTCAATGAATGAGCATGCATCATCAAACAAATCGATTTGTTTGATTTGAAAAGCATAGACATGTTCTTCATCGCATATTTACGGAGGATGAGCATTTTCTAATACGAGGAAAGCTACATGTATAATATTGGCTTGTAAGTTTCGTTTATTTTTTTTTCTAATTTTATAATAGATACAATAAAATAAACAGCAAATATAATGATGCAGATTGACATTTTGCGTATAAATTGTCTGGCAATTATTTCACCTCGAATTTTCTAGGGATGAATTTGTGTGTCCGATCATGACAAGGAACACACAGTAACTCCTGCATGGTACACAATCTCACTCTTGATATTCTTAGAGTTAATACTGTGTTCGTTCTGACTGTCAAAAATCGAATTTTTTCAATGCACTTTTGATAACTGCTCGTTATTTTTATATTTCGTTTACTGATTAGATTCAAAATGAATTTCTTTCATTTAATTAATGATAACATGTAATGCTGATTACTCAAGGGCACTTTTGGGTATATGAATTTTGTTTACGACCTGAAAGAACTGCAAACGATTGTATTGTTCTACCGCTTAAAACCCAAGTCATTTTTTAAAAGAAATAAACACATGAATTTAACCCCCCCCCCCCGAAAAAATATTCTTTTTACTGATAATATGGACTGTCATCAAAGAAATTTATATCAAACTTTTAGTGTTTCACAGGGAGGGGACATATGTTGATAGATAACAATTGCCAAAAATGTTATTTATTCACAGATTTCAAAGTACTATACAACTAAACGTGAGACATAAGAAAAAATATTAAGAATTTTTAATGATAAGCAAGACTATTTCAAAATGTAGTAATGCTTGGAAATCCGATTTTATTGGAAAAGGATGGTTTATCCCCTTATTTCAAGAGCTGAAATTAAGTATAATTTACTATTTTGCGCTGGTGTTAAAATAAGTTATAAATTACCACTGACATGTTTTTGTAATTAATCAAGATTTTACGGGCAATTTGCCATCAATAATTGCATAAAATGGGTGCAAAATGTAGGAGGGAATCGACAGTTAGCGTGCGTAGCTCTTATTAAGGTATTTCTAAAACTGATAATGTATACCAGTTAGACATATCTGAAGAAGACAAATATCATATTTTAATTGAAAATTAACCTATTGATAGACGTCTTCTTTAAAAAACGTGCATTAAATTTTAGTTCTACATAATTTAGAATCCCTGTGAGCATTTATCTCTTTCATTAGTCCACCTTTATAAAAAAAAAAGGTTCTTTAATATACTCAATGTATATTGATAATGTATTTCTTTCTCAGATGCTGGAGTTATCGCTCTTGCGATATACTCCAGCTTCATTTCAATACTGAGGTGGGACATATGTTTATTCCTACCTGTGATAGTGTTTAGCTGGCTTTATTTAAATGTATGCAAGAAAGCAATGTAACCATCAATTGTCGCACGGGAAATAAATAAAGTAAACAGTGGAAACGAGTCTTGATAATGAAACCGCTTCGATAAGTGTAAAAAAGACATGCGTCTAAATGATGGAGACGATAGTAAAGAGAATAGTTTGAAAAAATAGTCGGATGAAAATCGAACAACAACGATACCCTTTTTATACTTTGTCAATTCCTCAAGTAAATATTGGCTGCATAAAATATAAATTGAAACTAGACTTAGGCATCACCTATTTTCAGAGATGTATTTCATTTTAAGAATATAAAACTCGAACTGTGTAGAGTATGTTTGTATGCGATGAGTAAAATTCAATGTTCTAAAAAATTGACCTGTCTTTTTTTCAATAGAAAATGAGAAAATACTTGCATAATTATTATATATCAAAAACATAAATATTTATACAAATTCACTTTATGGAAGTAAATATATTATGTATCTCGTAATTTTTAAAGGGAAAGAACATTCCAATTAACAATCTTTCTAATGTTTAGAAAACCTTAAATTCTGAATAGCTTCTCCTACCTCAATCCCCATACAACAACACTTAAACTTACATATATATGTAAGTTTAAGGAGCCTGGTGCTCCGGGCTGCAATAATATATGTATATATATACTGTATTAATTGACTGGGTATGAGGCCAACATATGGTTTGTTGGACTTGAAGGTGAAAATGTTGCCCGAGGTTACAGGCCAAGGGAAACATTTTCACATTCAGGTCCAACAAATCATATGTTGCCCGAATCCAAGTCTATAACTGTTTTGTTATACCCTTCAGTGCTCACTTAAGATTTAATCAATACACACTATATTATCAAATAATAATATACATTTCTGGTATCTCTCTATTATATAAACATACAGAGAACAAATATCTTCAATTCTGTATGAAGTTTGTCTGAGGTCAGAGGTCAGTACGTGACCTAATCACAAGGCGCAATAATATCTACCGGTGCATAAATATAAATTGGCTTGCTCTACTTGCCTTTCATATAAAACATTAACAAAATATGCAAGTAAAATAATAATTATTTTATTTACAACGTTAACAAGTATTTCATACAGTTTTTTTTTTTTTTTTTTGGCTATCGATTTAACATGTGTACATGGAGAATATACCGATAGAAACTAGCTTTTGTTTACAAATTTTATGTCACTTTTTTCAGCTGTACAGCCTCTAACGTTTATCCTTAATTTTTGGGTAGATTTTTAGTTAAATCTTCATGATAAGGTATACTTTAATTCAATTCAATATTTTAATTTCAAATTCTACTCACGATAAATGTAAATCTGTAAGTGTTGGAAAATATCAAAGCATTGCAATCACGCCACGAACAGCTGACAAACACCTCGGCGCTGTCGTATTTCAATGTAATGTGTTTTGTTTACATCATAAATATGCCTTTAGCTATTGAAATCGTAGGTTAAACGTTTTAGATCTTAGATACTTGATTGCAAATTAACTGACACCTTTCAATCTATCGGATCACTCATCCTTTTCTTGCGACCGAAATTCCTTTTTATCATCGATCTCCGGACGTGTTTCTTGTGTCTTTTCAGCACTGATTATCAATTTTCCGAATAGAAATATTCTCAGACAACAATCTGTTCACTATAATTGATCACAAGTTGCCTTTCACAAAAAAGTCCCTTACAAATAAAAACCTTAGACTGATGAATTCGAAGCGTAACCGCCATTCAAGCCGATTAACACCTTGCGTCATTTTTCAAAATCTACGACGGGCGGTTAGTGCAATATTATATATTTGAAAATATTTAATCGTCGGTCTCAAATGTATATATAAGAAATAAATAACAAGTTTATAAACTTCAATGGGAATTGAAATGGGTCGGTACATAATGAAATCTTCTGAGAAGGCCTTCGGCCTTCACAGGATTTGATCACGTGACCGACCCACTTCATTTCCCATTGAAGTTTATAAACTTTTATTTATTTCTTGATTACTTTATATGAAAAATTATTGCTTTATCAGTAAATATAATACAATAGCCGAGAAAGAACAAAATTAATTATATTTTTATTATATAAAAAAAAATTATCTATCACATAACATATTCTCTTTCTTTCTTCCTTGTTAATAGCAACAACGCTTACAGCTCTTAACCTCGGGTATTTCCGTGTCGCCGATATTGAACGATGATTAATTACTTGTGACGTATATGTATGTGTATCCTTATCTATCATGAGTTATACTTGCAATTTATGTGTTTAAACACTGCATAAGGCTAAGGTTTTCAGAGCATATGTCTTTCTCTGTAAAGGTTGGTCTTACTGGATGTATCTGCACTTTGTCACTTACGTAGAATTTCATTACTGGTGTGGGGTTTTCTTCTCTATATGGGTCTCAACTGGATTTATGGGGCTTAATCAAGTACATGGCGGTTACAGACCATAAGATATAGGTGTGTTTAAAATTATGTAATCATTTACATCATTACATGTACTGGGAAAATAAATGGGATTTATTAATTAATAATAATTAAAATATTGATGTGGTAAATCATCAAATATTCATAACTGTATATCAAATTTTTATTAGGGTATGATTACATCACCATTTAATGTGATTTACATCATTTTATGTTTAAAAAAATGGTATATACTGTATGAAACATAACTTGCCTACGTCACAATGAGTGACGTCAAAAACGTATTACTCTGCTTGACGTTACTTTTAAAATTTAATCTATGTGAAGCCTTATTCTTGGGGGAAATTTATCCCACTGTTTGCACTGAAATTAAATTATAAGGAATGAAGCTTCGCGGTTTATAAAGCGTAAACTGCCCCAAGTTATGTTATATCGTATAATACAAGTTGAAATAAGCTTCATTCCTTAAATATTCCTATTATGCCATCGTACCAAAATGTCTCTTTTTTATTCCCATCAGCCATGACTTGTTTCTTTGTTTGACCTGTTTTCAAGCTGAAGACAAATCAAATCAAAGAGACAAAGCACATCCTACACTGAAAACTTAAATTAGTCAATTAGACCTAAAAAAAATCATCACTTTGATTGTACTCCGAGTGAGGGTGAGGATAGTCATTTTGAGAATGTATTGAACTCATTTTTACGACTGGAGAAAAATCACACTGACGAGTTTGATAGTCTAAAGTGACTGATTGATTGTCACCATGAGAAGACTAGCGAGTCAATCTTAACTAAATTATTGTCATTATAATAGATTCCAATAGTCAAAGTGAGTTTTATTTCATATCAGTATGAATTTCCTTTAGCTATATTGCTAGGCATTTTTGCGATATTGAAAATCAAAGCGACAATGCAATAATACATTAATTGAAGAAAACATTGTTGATTATAACACCGTTTCTCTTCTGAACACTTTTTGTATAATTCGTTTTAAAATCAATTGTCTAAAGCAAAGAAACAACAAAATATCACCTACAATCACTTCGTGCTTCCTTGGAAGGAAAATAGCGATCGATGCTTTTGTTTCTTCCCGCCAAACAATTGAAACAAAATGAGGCATACAATCAAATTAAAAATGAAGCTTGGTAGTGTTTAGGAAACAGGT